CAACGAAAATAAATAATTGGTACACAACAGCTTTCTTGTATGCAAAGAAAATAATTAAAAATGTTAAAAAAGAGATGTCAACACAAAATTACATAGCCCCTTCAATTCAGAAGATACTACAAACGAACTGTACCTTAACATTTTCATATATCCCAGAAGCTAACGTTCCCATGACGAATATTGCTATCGCTAGCGATTGCAAAATCCAACTTGTTTCTTCTTTTTTTTGTTTAAAGAAATGTGACGAGCAGGGCCGGATTTTCCTACTTGCCGCCCATGGGCCGCCTGTATTTTGCCGCCCCCTTCTCATTCGTTTTGAAACATCAATAAAAACCATCAAGTGAACGTGCCAGCGGGGGAGGGGTGCATAAGACGCATTTACTCGTGTTGAACACATTTTTTGGGAAAGCCCTGTCAACAATACTAGCAAAAGGTCACGGAACTTTGCGCGAAAGTCAAGTTTCTTAAACCTACCTCTAATGGCAAAGCCTTCCATTCATAAGAAATGAACGAAAAAATTATGAAAGAACAAACACAAAATTTGGTTTAGTGATTTTAACTTCCGCCGCCGCGCCGCGCCGACCGCACCGTGTTTGGCGCAATGCGTGAATTATTCACGCAGTCTTGTAGGCGCTATGCGTTTCACGCTGACCGCACTGTGTTTGGCGCAATGCGTGAAGTATTCATGCATTCTTGTAGGCGCTCATATGTGTTACATGCCGATTGCCGCGCCGAGGGCTTCTCCTTTTCATCTCAAATCCTCGTCATCATTTCTCCCTAAGTCGCGCCGTTCCGGTCCAAATTGTGTGTTTGGTTTCTCTCTTAACTCGACTAATTAAAGGTGCTGTCTCTTGTATCACTGGAAGACGACAAAATTAGAAATCACTATACTCTCAGGAAATGAGAGATTTTGTAGCCTTTTCTCGTTTGTAATTTTTTTTCTAAATCCGATTTTTTTAAACCTACATTTAAAAAAATTGCAAAATTTGCCGCCCCCTAGAATTGCCGCCATGGGCCGCGGCCCATATGGCCACCTCCTTAATCCGGCCATGGTGACAAGAGCTGATTTTTCAGTTGATTCCTTTTAAAGAAAAATACTAATATGAAGTTCTGAAATGTTATGCATCGGTGCGTTCTCAAAATTCTTGATGGAGATATTTTCAAATACGGTAAGTCCGTTGTGCAAAAATGAGTGCAGTTTTTACAGGTAAAATCACATAAAAGAAAAAAAAACTATAGAATATAAGAAATATACTCTATAACCACAAATTATTGAGGAAGAATACTTTATTAATAAATTTATGTCCGATAGATTTGAAATGCACAAGGTGAAAGAGGTGTTTCCTCAAGTGGACGTTTTAAGGTCAATTTTGTTAACTCGTCAGAAACACTCTCTTCAACAAATCAATATGACAGTTTTCATGAATATCGGTTGGTAAAAAAACATAACGTGAAACATAACGCACACTGACATTCTTTTGACCTATATGTAGCTTCAATTGTTTATTCTTGCCTTTACAGTGAGCTTTTAGTCTCTTTTCCTCCATTCGTTTTGACTTTAGCAGTTAGAACTTTTTTTTGAATTTTTGACAAATTCTTGACAACTATGGACTTTTGTAGGATTGATGGATTGTAGTATTTTGCTGTGCTGTCAAAACAAGCTACATTTCTTCCCAAGTGTAATTCCTCAATTTACTTTGCGGAGGAAAAATGGGTCAAATCCTTGGCTTTAAAAGGTGCTCAACTCACCTGGTTTTCCAGTATTTTGGTTTTCCACATCACGCTTTTTCCTTTCTTGCTTATGTGCAGATTTTTCGACTACAAAACACCTAAAATTAAGTGAAAATCATTCGATATCGGTTTTTTATTGATATTTTCTTTATTTTTGGCGGCTTTAAGCTGGTACTGGAAGGAGGATTTAAAATAGCCATAGATTTCCGAAACCTTAATTATTGAAGCTGTTATTCATTTTAAAATTTGTCAGAAGCGTCGAGGTATTAAGTTAACTTCTCTACTTCCATATTTTTAAGACATAAATACCTCTAACGTGTTTTATTAGATTGTGATTGCATATACATTATGATATCAATGTTCAAGTTCTTCCTTGCAATGTTCTTTCTCAACTCATGGGTAAAGTTCCAATTGTATGGTTTCACCCGTCTTCAGCATACTACCTCCGATGAATGGGACCCTCTGTATTCGTTCGTTTTGAGCGCATGTGAAAACATAGTTAAAAGGTCGGAACAAAAATTGTTTTACACGATCGCATTTAATGCGGACCCTTTGTTTAAGCATTTTATTCAACACTTGCACGAAGCGTCCATTCAAACCATAGTAATATCCCACGGTAGCAAATTGGCAAGTTCAGTGTCCTCTTATCACAGCAAAAACATGGTATTCGTCGTCAATGATTTCGATGAAATATTTAATTTAATTTTTTATTCGATTGAACAGAAAAATTCGTTCGGATTATACAGTGAAATTCCAACAAATTCTGCAGATCATGAAACAGATGGAAGGTCACGCACAGAAAGTTATTTTCTTCGCCATTGTATTAGAGTTGACGAAAATTTCCTCTGGTCGAGTGGGCGGAAAATCTGTGAAGAAACAATAGATATATCATCCGCCGAGATGGGAGACGACTCTATTCTTAGTGATTCAGTTTTTAATGCAACTCGTGCCCTCTACATTAATAAAATTTGGAACTCCAAAAATCACCTGATTTTTTTCTTGAAAAACTACCGCCGCAATTTCAGTAACTCAAACGCCAAACCTCAGCAGAACTCACGGCAACAAGAATATATATTTGCAAATGAAACTATCAAGAATCAGAAAATTGATCCATTTAGCAGTGTGATTTTTTGCTTCAGGTTTTTTTGGCGTTTCTTCAAGGGCCAAAAAGTGATCATTTGCCATCCTCAAGGTTGCGAAAAGTATGACCCGTTTACGGAAAACCTCTCTTCCTTTGAAAGATTGAATGATGATACATTTTTCGACTTCTCCTGGAAAAATATGCATAAAAAACCCATACATGTGAACCTAGATTTTTATAATAAACCTAATTTGAATGTTGCAAACCTGGCTGCCTGGAACAGGTGGGTGTCATTTCATGAGATTGCTGTCAAACACCTCGCAAACTTAGTGAACTGCAGTTTTAAGATTTCGTCCGTGGATGGAGAGGAAGGCTTGAGATATGGCGTTGACTTACAATTATTCGGAAATGGAGTCAATTTAGGGGAATCTGATCTCTCAAAAATTGACTTTTTTGTAAGTGTTGAAACTATCGCTGTATGCATTGCCGTCCCACACAGTAGCTTCATGTCTCAAGGGTTGGTAATTTTTAAAAGTTTCACTCCAATTGTTTGGATTTTGACCCTGATTACTATCTCAATTGTCAGCTTAGCTCAATACTTGTTTCAGTATTCACAATGTGAATTTTTTGATCAACTCTACTCCGAAGCGCAAAGGAATACTTTCAGAGGCACATCGTCGATCCTGACCGTCTACGCATATTTTGTCTGTGGAAGTTCGCCTTGCCTAAATTTGGGCCGTTTGGCCACGGGAAAGATCCTTTTTTCAATATTCAGTTTTTCGACTCTCATCATTTCTACAGCATTTTTAAGTAGTATGACAACATTACTTAGCAACCGGGTGTTGTACCCAGAAATAGATTCTTTGGAGGCTTTAGACGAATCCGACCTTTTAATCGATACACTCTACGATCTGAAACCTGACATTGATCTTTTCAGTCAGCATAACCACTCGAAATCATTGAGCACGAAACTTGTAAACAATTATATGTTCTTTATGTTTAGAATCTTTCTGGAGACACCAGGTAATATTCCGCGACCAGTTTCATCTGACATTGATCATTTCCGGCAAAATTTTTCAAGGGGCTATGATGTACTCTCAAACGCCTTTTTAGTGAGCCTGCCTTTCATGTCAAACCCAAGAGAGGCTGTACTTATTCAGGAAGCTAGTTTTGTAGGGACACGTGAATACCATTTGATGCAAGAGTGTCTCATGATGTATCCTTTAACAATGCCGCTCCTAAAAAATTCATTCTTATATGATGAGCTGAATCAGGTAATTGCTCACCTGCTGGAGACTGGACATGCCGGTAGAGCTTTGGAGGAAAGTTTGGATGACTTCGTGAGGTGGGGAAATTCATCTCAGACAAAGGACGGCGCTGAACCACGGGCGTACGACATAAATGACTTACAATCAGCTTTCATCGCACTGATTGTAGGTCTATTTTTCAGCTTCCTCACCTTTGTAGGGGAGCTTTCAGTTGATCATTTTCGGAACTCAGCCCTGGTCCAATTATTCAGGCGTGTCAATATTTTTAGACCGTGATGGATTTTAAGAGCTTGAGCTTTGATTATTTTCCGGAGGACAAGAAAATGTTTGCAAACGTTATTAGTAGTACTCCTTAATAAGTAAATATTTGTTCTAACCCAAGATCTGATACGGAAGTATTAGAGCTCACCTGCTGTTTTTCTTTTTTCTTTTTTTTTTTTTTTCTAAACTTCTTATGTGGGGACGTCCCATTTGTTTAGTCTCATCAAATTGATTGACCTGAATTCAAACTTCGAAGGTGCCCAAGTGAGGAAATGAAGAAGAAGCGATGACAATCTGTGAGCCAGGCAAGAGCAAACTGATGGCGGACATCCTACCGCCCGATATGCAACCGGACCAAAACCAGGGCCCCAAACCGCCGGAGCCAGACGTCATCTCAGTTAAACCGTTTCACGTTCAAATCGTTTGGTTCAACGCTGTTGGATTTTTAGTTCTCTACGTTACCACTGTTTACGGCCTCTACCAGGCTTGCTTTTCATCCAAAGGCGCCACTTTATTGTGGAGTAAGTTACATTTCACTTATGCAGTGTAAATTTTCACCGTGCTAAGAAAAAACACCGTAAAAACATCCAGATGTTGCCATACTCCCCGCCATGAAACATTCATCTTTGAGGAAATTTATGAATATTTTATCTTTGAATTGTCGGATACTGTAGGTTAAGTTGCAGATAAAATCCTCTTCTTCTTCTTCTTCCTCTTCTTCTTCTTCTTCTCCTTCTCCTTATTTTTCTTCTTCTTCCACAAACAACTACACGGAGAAAAAAACTTCGCGCGTGGGACCCGAAGTTGAGGTCATATGGATCTCTGATGTTTTCTGATCACGCATCCGAAAAAGTCGAGCTGCCGAAGTTCGGGTCAGACATCGAGGCACTTTGGTATGTACCTACCTAAGTACTTCAGATGCGTGACCCGAACCCTTCGGTATATATCGAAGTACTTCAGATGCCTGACCCAAACTTCGGCAGCTCGACCTCAAGTTTTTAGATACGTTATCCGAAAACTTCAGAGATCCATATAACCTCAACTTCGGATCTCACGCACGAAGTTTTTTTCTCCGTGTAGGACATATCCCTGTTTGTCAGGCCAGCCAGCACCGAGCACAACAAATTATATATATGAATATTAAAAATCTACAAATTACTAAAAATAAAGGACTCGTCAAATCAATAAAAACGGCAATGAAATCTTCAATTACCCTCAGGAGAAGAGAGCCAGTTTGTGCCCATCTCTACGGCGGCAAAATAAGCAAATAAATCATCAGAGAAATTGGAGGAGAAACATTCACAAATTTTCTTATGGTTCGTATTTTATCAAGGGAAATTCGTCAACGCATTAAGGTTCATACGGCGTTCTTCCTTGGCACGGCAGACTAGCCGTTGTGTTGTGCCGTGCTGTGCATCTTTTCTTTTTCTTCTTCTTTATTTTATTAAGAGCTTAGAGCTATCTCTAGTTAGGGTTAATTTTGACCTCAGTTTGTAGACAAACAGTCACCGCACTAGACTAGTACAATTTTATTCTCCAGACTCACAAATTTTCAGGGATTGAGACTGAGTAGAATCTGTTTCTGCAAATCCTGTCGGTCGTTCCTTGAAAATGTGTCGCCGCCATCGGGATTCGAACCCAGAATTCATTGGTCAATAGTCAGAAGCGCTGATCACTAGGCCAACCTGGCCGGCGCGCAATGGATCGAGTCAATCAGAGAGGTCGGACTGAAACTGCAAATTTTGATGTTTATTTCGTCACAATTTAAATATCAAGGGGTGCTTCAAGTAGAAAATTTCACGAGAAACCAATGAAGCCACTTTGAAAACTGAAAAATTTTGTATAAACGTAGTTATAAGCGTTTAAAGTTTACAAATTTTGTCCGACCTCTCCTAATGACTCGATTCACTGTGCGGCGAGCGTATTTCTATACTCATCCATGAGCCATGACCTTAAAATTATCAAAACCTTAAGATAAATGGGGATTTCAGGGAATTTTTGATGTTTTAAGGTACGAAACTTGTTTGTATGTCCGATGAAGGAGCAATTTTCTAAACGTAATTGCATTGGACGTTAAATTATCTAGTATAGGGGTTCTTAATAGTTTTCTCTCGAGGTTTCGTCTTCGAGAAACTTATTAAATAGCCGAAAAACTAATATTTTTTCCCTGAAACATCCAGGACACTCAAAAAACCCTCTTCTACCACTATTTTACTCAATTTTTTAACTTTTTTGAGATTGGGATCAAAGAGTAGACCAAGAGAAAGAGATTATTACATTTTCTGTGGTTTACAGCTTTTGTTTTGATGGGCTATGCTGGATTTTCAACTACAATTGGAGCACATCGGCTCTTCACGCATCGGTCTTTCAAAGCCACAACAAGTCTGGTTGTCATTCTCATAATTGGCCAAACTCTTGCTGGACAGGTATAAACGGTAGAAGTTTATCATTTAAATTCAATATCATTTATTTTTGAATAGTCCTCATAAGTTGATAGAAAAACATATGTCTGTAGAAAAACAACTGACCGCGATAGTTTTTATATACATCACCTGTGAATCCATCCTCCGACTGGTTTTTGAGGCCAAAAAAAATTATAAAGACAAATTTTGATCAGGTTTTTTCAAAGAAAATAATACAAAACCGGAGATGTTTAAATGTGGCAAATTTTATTAACACCACTTTCGTTGTTGCATCAACATGGTCTGACTCTGAAAAAAACGATCAACTGAAATAAACTCAAGACTGGAAATATGGACCTCAGCGTTTTTCGCACGGCGTACGATTCACATTGATACACTGAGAAAAAACTTCGGTCATATGAATCGAATGTACGATGTTCAATATCGGCCGTATTGTTCGGTTCACTCAATCACTCGACGCTCTTTCGATTATCCTCGATTCATGAACAGGGCTTTTTCGTTAGTTCTGTTCGGTTTAAATACTCGGTTGAATGAATCGAGGAAACGGCTCTAAGAACCGAGAGAGTGGTCGAGTTAACCGAACAATACGGTCAATATTGAATATCGTACATTTGGTTCATATGACCGAAGTTTTTTTCTCAGTGTAGGTCGCAACTTACTCCACAAAACACCAGAGAATTTTCTGTCGAAATCTCAAAATCCTTTAAGGACGTTTTGCCTTGATCTTACATCAACACATGATCTTGATAAATGACGACACTATGCTTAACGACTATGCTTAACGACGACATATTTGGCCCATAAAAATATATACATCTGAGGGATGAAGTCTCTTTTTCATGGATCATCACCAATACCTAAGTAACAGAGTGCAACGAAAATGTTGAAATTAAATTGCAATTTGATTTCAATTCAATTGTAATTTTTTTTACCATTAAATTGCAATATTTTTACATCATTTTGTAAATTTATGCCGATTTTAAACAATCAACAAAATGAGCTCCATGTGTTAGAAAGATAGGCAATATGCAATGCCATGAAAAATTGCAACTTATTTCAATTTTATTGCAATAAGTTTTAATAAATGGTGCCCCTTCAAATAGGAGCTAGGCAACATACACAACACTCAGTTGAATTGAAATATTTTTACTATGTAATTGTTACTTATTGAAATCTGCGCTACTTAGGACACGTACATAGAGTTGGGTGGACTTCATATTCAAATATTTTCACTTTCATGAGAGCCTTTAAAATTATTTTTCTCTCTCTTTTTGGTCAGAATTGTTTATGGGTTTGGGTGCGAGATCATCGGCAACATCATAAGTTTAGCGACACAGACGCCGACCCGCACAACTCAAAACGTGGCTTTTTCTTCTCGCATGTTGGCTGGCTCATGATGAAAAAACATCCTATGGTCATCGAAAAAGGTCGCACCATCGACATGACGGACATGAGCAGCGATCCGTTTGTCATGTTTCAAAAAAGGCGGGTTCATGAGTTTCATTTTTTTTTCAAACTTGAGCAGAGGCTGATCAAGCAATTTGGCAACACCGGATTCCCTCCATTTAAACCTATGTTAAATAATCGATTCTTGTCAGAGCACCTAACCCCTCCAAGAATCGATACATTTCCTAAGGTTTAAATGGAGAAAAGCAATATTGCCAATTTGCTGGATCCGCCAATGAACTTGAAAACACTGCCAGGTCTTTAGCTGGAAACAACTAGAGTCCATTTATACTGAGAGTCAAGACAACACCCCTCATGGAGTCACAAGCGGGTCTAAAGATTACACAAATTGAAAGTTTTTCGTAATCTTTGATCGGCTCATTCTTAAATTCCTTCCTCCGTTCCTTCTCTCATTCCGTTTGTTCCTTGCCGAACCCGTGATTCTTCGGTCCATTCCAGATCATAATTCTTGTAATTGGTGAACATATAATCTATATTCCCGTTTGTGACACTGTGGAGTCCTAAAATACGGGAACCAATCAGAAATGGATTCACATTGTCTTAACTCTCAGTATAGAGGGACTCTAGAAACAACATGGTGGCAGTATAATTATAATTATAATTAACATTATAATTAACTAAAAACACGCTAAAATTAAACTAAAAATATGCCAATGTATACTCAAAATGCACAAGAATAATCTAAATCGCGAACCTAAATCGTATTCAGTGTTGCACAACCAACCACACTGCAATTTAAGGACGCTGCACACATTTCCGTAACCCCCCAATACTTCATTTAGGAAGCCCCAGTTCAACTTACCTCTCTTGTAATGTCCCCTTCCCAGTCCGTCATGTTTTAATATCAGTGGCGTGGGTTGCATCAAGTCCCCGTCGCCGCCGACCAACGCGTCTGTCGATCGAATCAACTACAGGTAGTATGAGCAGGGAGTCAAAACGCCTTCAATTTTTTGAACGCAATAGGGACATCCGTCGAGGTTGTATAGTTGTATCAAGGCGCCGTAGCAAACGCGTCCCATTGCTTATCGTTATAGACGAATGTAAGTTCAGAGAGGAAAGTCATAATGCCTTCAATTTTAGCCATACATATTTTTGGGCAAAATTAGAGACGACGTTTCTCCATTTGCGACGTTGCAGACTTCCTCAGAAAGTTTTTTTTTTTTTTTCGAGACGCTCGTCAACATAAAACGAAATTCTCCATGATTTTTCGTATTCGATGGCAGAAGATTTGGTTCAAAATCCAAAGTCGTAAATTTGATTGTTTCTCATGGAAGAGATGAAATAAGAACGGAAATTTTGAAACAGCGCAATGCAGATACGTGGTTTCGCACTTCCGTCGGTGCGATACGGACATCCATCAAGTTTAAATAGTTGCATCCCGCGTGGCGTACTTTAAGATATATCGATTGGTATGCCATTTAAACCCATGGAAAAGTATCCATAAACAGGGTGTTCGCAGCGATCACCTTAATAATCGATTCTTTACCATAATTTTAAATGGCAGAGCAATCGATACATCGCAATTCACGCCATGCCACTGTCTAATATACTGTCCTACCTATCAACAAATAAAAATTTCAAAATTTTCCCTCCACTTTCGGATCTCAATACCATAAAGTCAAAAGTTGTTCATCAAAGCCCTGCTTTTTTAGACAACTTAATTTCCAAATTCAATTTATTCTATCCTTGTCTTGCTTTTTATTTTTGCACATTCCTATTGATCTCTATTTTCTAAGTTGGTAATGGACTATGTTTTGTCAAAGCACCTGTGCATATTTGCATTAACTAATCGACTACGCTGAGAAAATACCACATACGAAACTTGCGAACACTCAGGACTCAGCCATTGAAAAGTCAAATCGCCTTCGAAAATGATTTGCGCAACTAAAGTTGATACAATGTAACGCAAGGAGCTTAGTCTCAAAATGAAGGCGCTTCCAGATGCAGGAGTATACTAGCTGCGAGTCGGTATCCTTAATAGAGTACGTTTCACTTCGATTACAGGTTTTACAAGTCGCTGTTCACGTTGTTCGGTGTTCTCATTCCAGTTGCTGTTCCTTGGTATTTGTGGAATGAAACACTGTTCAACTGTTTCATTATTGCACTGATCGTTCGCTTATGGGTGACCAATAACATCGTCTGGCTTGTTAACAGTTGGGCACACTGGAGCGGCACCAAACCTTACGATAGGTAAGTTACTCCTTCGTGAGGATGAAGATCGACAAAAGCTAATTATTTCAGGATTTTTAGATTGTTTGGACTCAGTGGCGTGGCGTGAATTGCAATGTATCGAATGTTATGCTATTCAAACCTATGGAGCAGAATCGATTATTACGGTGTTCGCTGCGAACACCCTGTTTATCGATCTTTTTCCATAGGTTTAAATGGCATAATAATCGATATATCGCAAAGCACGCCACGCCTCTGTTTGGACTTTGTCATTGTGATGTACTATGTGCCTTCAAAAAAAAGGCAGGAAAGTTGAAAGCCGCATCGAAATTTAATATATAATCATTAGAAGCTGCGAAAAGTGGACAAAAGTATCGTTTTCTTAATTTCAAGGAGCTTTTACAGTTACTATTACCGGTTTTTTTAGCACTGAATTCTAAACAGATTTTTCTTTCAAAATGATGTAAGGATTATGGAGCAACTATCAGCACGCTTCTTCACATCCGTATCAATGAAAAGTTGGAGAAGTTTTGGTGTTTCTTTCGGCTTGTCTCGCGAGTTTTTTGCTTCAACGTCTGAAAATAACTTTTTTTGTTGCCTAAAAGTTCCTGAAAAATCGCAATTCCCTCAAAATGTGTTCAATGTCGGGAAGAAAAAGCGTTGGAAAATTCTGATCTAACGTGGGTTTTGGGTTTCTCGAGACAAAAACAAGCGTCCTGATGGTATATATTATCCATTGCGGAACTAAAGTTTTCGGTATGAATTTTTTTCTCGATCTGGCAAGTCCAATGCAACCAAAATCACGGCCTCCAATAAGGATATTGTCGATTAGAGTAAATTGCCCTCTATATCGCTAACAGCGGTGTCTCGCAAGACGCTTTGCGAGTTCGATTTGCCTTTCTCACGAACGGCGGATAAAAATTTTGTTTCAAATTCCGAGTCGAAATGCTGTACTTACTACTACGCAGTCCTTACAATCTTGACGTCCTGAATTTCATATCAAAATTAAATGACCCTCGAAGCGTGTAATATGAAACAAGCAGGAAGCTCCAACGCATTGGCGTCGGAGAGCGGCTCTGGGGACAGTAGTTGTAGTCAAGAATGAGGGCCTGGACACATTTTGTCATTGATGTACAATCCGACAACTGTCGATTCATGTTTTGTAACTTAGCAGATTTACGTAGCCGGTGTATAAATGTGTATTGGGCTTTGATATGGCGAATACATGGCATTATCACTTGTTGTATAC